GAGCTCATTCTTGCACGGAGGGCCAGGCTGCCTGTTCTGGGGCACTTCCTTGGTTCAGAGGGCACTCTAATCTCCTTAGGAACTTGGGGCAGACCAGACAGTTACTGACTGTTAGGCAGCCTACCCTGGTCAAAGAGCAGTCCATCAACACAGATTGAGCACCCACAGTATACCTAATTGGGAGAGGGTCTAGCTCTTGGGCTAGTTGGAAGACAAAGCTACATGAAGAGAGTAGACCATGAAGGGCGAGGTGGGGTGGGGAAAATACGGCAGGGGTTCAGAGAAGGGGAGATCCTGGGAAGCTGGGGTGGTGGAGGTGGGATTGAATGTGTCACCACAAAAGATTTCTATCTGACAGGATGGGCAGAAGCTTTACATGATTTTTTGTGGACAGGAGGCCTGGTGCTTCTCTTCCCCTGCATGTGTGCGTGCGTGCATGTGTGTGTGTGTATGCGCCTGTCTCTCTTTCTTAAAAGTCCTTTATACTTTCTGGGGCACCTGGGTGGTTCAGTCGTTAAGCGTCTGCCTTCGGCTCAGGTCATGATCCCAGAGTCCTGGGATCGAGCCCCACATCGCGCTCTCTGCTCAGCAGGAAGCCTGCTTCTCCCTCTCCCACTCCCCCAGCTTGTGTTCCCTCTCTTGCTGTCTCTCTGTCAAATAAATAAATAAAATCTTAAAAAAAAAAAAGTCCTTTATACTTTTTACACGAGAAGTTGCTACCAAGAAGTCATCCTTCTTGAACCTAAACACTGACAATGGGTATGGGGTCTGGAGGCCCTCCAATTTCTCCCCTGCTACTTTTACCCAGAAGTCTGTCTGCCTAACTTGAGAATCACACAAATTTAGTGAGTTAAATGTACAGACTGTCCAGGTTGGTACCACCCCCTCCCCTCGCCCCCACACCCAGTGGAAGTCCTTGTTCGAGTGGAACCCAACATGAAATCCTGATGTGAACGGAACAGACATGAGTGAGTTGCTCGGGCGAGAATCAGGAGCCCAGGGAAGCAGGAATCGCCGAGCTGATGGCTTTGAGTGTCTCCTGCTCTGGAAATGACAGCTCTTTCCAGAGCATTTCAAGGCTGGAAGTAAGGTTAGAGCAGGGAAAGGAGTAGGTGGAGCCTCACCTGGAGCCCTGCCTGTACCCTTTCTTGTCCTAGCTGCAAATTTCAATCCCCTATTCCTGAGTCCAGAAATGCCATTTCTGCTGTCCCTCTCGGTACTCTGTGGCTGATCTAGGAGTAGGGAGGTGGGGCGGGTTGTGCTTGCAAAGCTGAGGGAGCCTTGGGGGTGCTCAGAGCAGTGTTGACGGGCTGTGGGTTTCACCTTCCAGGTGACCAGGTGGGAAGGAGCACATGCACGAGGTCAGCAGGCAAAAAAGGTGAACAATAAATCCACTCCCACATGAGGGCTATCTAAGCAAGGGGTTATTTTCCCCAGGCCTCCCAGAATCATTAACCAACGGACACCACAAATCTTTACCTGAAGCCAGCCGTGCGCAAGGGGACATGCTAGGGATGCAGTCTGAACGACGGGTTTAATGCTTGGCTCTTCTGTAGTATCGAGTACCTGTGCCAGGGCTCCCAGGAGAACCGGGCAGTGTGCTGGGCAGGGCAGTTCATTCTGTTCCCACAGCAGATAAAGGCCCCCTTTTGCCCTCTCAGTTTCCAGCACCCATTTCCCCAAGGTCTAGGGAATCCTCTGTCCCAGATCACAGTGCCTTGTGGCCTCTAAGCACCCTTCCTGATCCCTGGTAGTTTCACTTCCTAGAAGGTGATGGCTTAACTGCTTACATCGGTGCCAGAGGCATGTCTAGGCATTTCTTCAGAGATACCTCATGGGTTTGAGGCTGCGAAGGCCCCTCTGTTTCCCTTGTCTCCCATCTCCCACCAGCACCAGCAGTCCATCTGCCATGCTCTCCCACCCCGTCCCCACTGACAGCGGCTCGCGACCCGCTCCTGGCTTGTCTCCCGGCCGGAGGTCTCCCTCCAGGCCGTCACGCATACTGCTGCTGGAAAGAGCACCCCAGACAAGACGCTGGCAACACTGCTCCCCCACTGAATGCCCTCTCCAGCCCCGCATCACCTACAGAAGGAGGTCCTTCACTTGGTGTTCAGAGTCACCCCAAGAGTGCATGCCCCTGCCTTTCTGGCTTTATCTCCCACCCCACTCCCCTGGCCTCAGCCTATGTTCTGGCCACCGTGCCCCCCAGTAAGCTCCCAAGTTCTCCCCAACTCCAAGTTCTGGCTCTAGCTTCTTCTTCTGCGTTGAAATGCTCCCGTCTGTGTCCCATTTACCCGGTCATTTGGGCCAGCCCCACTCTCGGGGGGTTGGGGGGGCGGTCAGATTATCCACCTAGACCACACAATCAAGATGCACCTTGCACGTCCCTGTGCCCCCAGCACACTATCAGACAATGTACATGCAAAGCTCTCTGTCCACATCCAGCCCTCACTGATAGGATGGGGTCTCAGAGGCAGGGAGTCCTTGTGTTTTATTCTTAGGAGGAAAAGTGAGAATTTTTTTAACAATATTTAGCCTTCTCAAAGAAGACATTAAATATTACCATGATTTAATAATAATATTTTACTATGGCGTTCATTAGACCATTGATTTGGGGACAAAATTAAGGAAATGTATTTTCAAGCTATTCAAGACTCAAAAGTGATAATTAACTCTGAACACCGCAGAGCAAACCATTAGTAGTATAGTCTACAAAAATCCCTGCATGCTGAAGGAATGAGAAAAGTTACCATCAGCCACTTGATATCCTCAAGAAATGTCAAAACAAGACAATATTGTTCTTGTGTGTCAGCTGGCTGAACTTCTGACTAAAGCAAAAAATCAGGAGTGTTCCTCAGCCTTCAGCTACTTTTCAGTCCCAGACAGGAAGATGTATATTTTTTGCTTGAGAAAATCAAGCTGTATTACGGAGTTCTGTCTAAGCATTGCCACCAGGCTGAACAAGGAACACATGAGGAAGTCCTGAGAGACTGTCCCCACATAGTGACATTACATTGCTGTGACCTTTGAGGAATCTATCTTGGGTTTGATTTTTTTGGGGATGTAAAAATTGACTCAAAATGAGTTAAAAAAAAAGGGGGGGTTGGCAGGATATTTTCAAATAACTTAGGGGAAAGGAATCACAGAGGGGGCTGAATTGTTGGGAAACCAGTCAGATGGTCTAGCAATATAGGCTGTGTTGGTGTTTTCAAGTTGTGGAACTGGATTTTTAAAACATTTTATTCTGAAATAATTTCAAATATACAGAAAAGATGCAAGTATAGTAACTCCATATCTGTGTTTACTATTTACACACACACATAATTATTTTTCCTGAACCATCTGAGGGTATGTAACAGGTGGCATGCCTCTTTGACCCCTTAATATTTCAGTTGTGTGTGTCCTAAGAACAAAATAGTATCTTACAAAACCACAGTACAGTTATCAAATTCAGGAAATTTAAAATTGATTAATCTACAGACAATATTTCAATATTGTCAGTTGTTCTAGAAATTTCCTATACGGCTTTTCATCCCTCTAGCACAGGATCTAGTCCAGGGTAACACATTACATTTCATTGTTATAGAATCCTTGTCTTTTTCATACCTTAGATCCTCTTTTTATAGGCCAAGGTGAGGAATACAAAAATAGGTAGGCTTTTACATTTATTTCCCTAAGAGGCTTTTACACATGGATTTTTACACGAGAAAGGCACTCAATATTTAATTATTGGTTTGTATTTCTTGAGGAAAAAATTTAAACTACAAGGAGGAAGATCATGGCAATACACTTTTACTATAGGTGAACTTGGGGAAATTCTGAAAGAAATATAAGTAGTCGGGTAACAACTATCAGAATCAGGAGGGGATAAGTCCACTGATAATTCCAGTATGCCATAACCTTTCCCATTTTTGGTGGAGAGGGTACTAGAGAAATCTTGTGAGTATTGTATTCCACCAAATATTTACTGAGCACTTGCTGGGTGCTCTGTGTGTCCTTCTAAGGGAAACACGTATTCAGAAAAAGGAATGAATCACTAACGGTGGAAATACAGATCCAGGAACTCGGACAGGCCGGGAAGCTGGTGGGGAGAGGGCTTCTTGCAGATCACTCCCAGAATCAAACTGCATGTCTTCCCACTGAGAGGCAAAGCAGGTCCCGACCAAACCTGCTCTGGAGCAGCATCACCAAAAGATTATTCAAAAACCAGCTTCTCCCACATATGCATGACAACAGAGGACTCTAGAATGCGGACGTTCATATTCCAAGGGAAGCCTCCAGGATCCCCAGCCACTGGGACAAGGAGCCCCGACTCAGTTTCAAACCCTGTGTGGCCACTCCCGCTCCCATTCTGCTGTCCATTCTGCTCAGCCTGTGACCTCTTGCCTCCAAATGCTGTTCCTGCTTCTCCTCGGGATGGCAGACCCAGAGATCCTTCCTGACAACCCGAGTGCAGGGAATGCAAGTCCACCAGAGCAGACATCCTCCCAGCTGGCGACCTCTCCAGAGGTGTGACCCTGCTTCTACTCCTAGCTAACCTGACTCACACTCATCTGTTTCTGTCACATGTGAAAACTAAGAGAAGTACAAAATGATAGATCTATGATTCCCGGGTTATGTTACCACACAGATAATCATGACTTAGCCTTATCTTAAAAAGGATGACAACGTAACTAGCTAACAGCACTGTTGATTAGATTTCTATCTTTGAAGATGATTTTTCTCTATGATGTCCTAGATATCAGGGGTCAGCAAACTATGGCTAGCAGATCAAATCTGGACAGCTGCCTGTTTTTGTACATAAAGCTTTATTGGAACACAGGCATGCCCACATGTTTACCTACTGTTTAGGGCTGCTTTCCCACTAACACAGCAGAGTGGAGACAGAAACCGAATGGCCAAGAACGGTTAAAATATTCACTCTCTGGCTGTTTACAGAAAAAGTGTACCAACTCTGTCCGAGAACAATAAGGCACTGCTGAGGGGTAAGAATGAGGTACCTGTTGATTGGTAGGTATTTCCTTGTGACATGGCAGTCACTACAGTTCCCGTGGCTGCATCTCGGACGGCTTGCTCCTCACTCTGCAGGAGGGTGAGGACACATCTCCAGAGAGCAAGTGTATCCTGCAATCCTAAGAAGAACAAAAGGAATTCAAATTACCTACGGTTCAATTTACAAGCAGGTACAAATACTGCTTTAAATCCATGGTGGTGGTGGTGGGGCGCGCCTCAGTGGCTCAGCTGGTTAAGCGTCTGCCTTCGGCTCAGGTCATGATCTCAGGGTCCTGGGACTGAGTCCTGCATCGGGCTCCCTGCTCAGTGGGGCGTCTGCTTCTCCCTCTCCATCTGACCCTCCCCCCTGCCCATGTTCTTTCTCAAATAAATAAATAAAATCTTTAAAAATAAATAAATAAATCCACGGTGGAAGAGAGTAGTCTTTAAAGGAGCAACAGTCATGCCTTTCTTCCTGGGTATTTCAAGAAAGGAAGACTTGGCAGTCAGATTAACAGTGGAAGAGAGAGGGCCTTTGGGGGCAGGTTTGGAAATATCTGTCTTTTTGGGGGGAAGGCTTCTGGAGGCAAGCAGCCCTAGGCAAGGCCCCCTGGAAGGTGTGGCCCAGCTAACTAAGGCCCTGGGCCCAGCTGTCCACAATGATTCACGATTCTTAGGAATGAAACTGTATGCATTAAGAATGCTTTGGGGGAAACAAGCCCAGTGTTGATTTGAGTGACTGCCTGAGCTTATAAATTCTGAAAGCAAGATTATACTTTGGGGGGGGTAAGCACTGAAAAGGGGAGGGAACCACAGAGGAGAGCCGGTGCCAGGTCCATGTGGGGCCCACTCTCTGACCACCACTGCCCTTGGGCAGGAGCTCTGTGTGGTCCCTGTGCTAGGTGCTGCTGGGGACAACGGGGCAGGAAAAGACAGTACGTGCCCCTGAGCGACGGAAGGAGCATCAAGTCAAGGACACAAAGCAAGGAGAAGTCAGGGATGGAAATGGCCGGCTGTGCCTCACAGCAGGGAAAGATCATGGTGGACCGGTGTGCCGGAGGCAGACTTCATGAGGGAGGCGACAGGTGGGCAGGGCCTCACAGAAAGGAAGTGTGTTGTCTAGGGGGTAGGCCCAGGCTTGGGCAGGGTCACAACAGGAGACCCACAGGGGACCACCACTCATCACCCCTAGCCTTTCAATGGGGGACCTGCCCTGTCCTAAGAACTCTCCTTCGACTACGCTCTCCCTTGTCTGCCCGCAGGGAACCTCGTACCAGAGACACCAGTGCGCTAGTCATACCAAGACGTGAGTTCCCTACCGATGATGCACAGAGCCTGTGCTGGGAAGTGGTGGCCGACGAGCAGGGAGGGCTGGCCAGGGCACAGAGCCACGGGATAGGGTGTTTAGATTTTATCCTGAAGGCAATCGGAACCCACTCAAAGGCTTTAAGTAGCGGAGTGAAATGATCAGTTCTGTATTTCAGAAAGACCGCACGAATTTTTGGAAGTATAAGGAGAATGGCTTTGGGGGTAAGATGGAAAGAAAGGAGGCCAGTTAAGAGGCTGTTGGTGAAAAATGGGGAATTCGGAGGGTAGGGGGAACACATTTGAGAGATGCAAAGGTACAGTGCACACAGTCGGTTTTCATCTTCCCTCCTTTTTTATCCTGGAGTACCTATTAGTGCTTTTAGCTCTTTGGTACACTGGACCTCGGACCTCAGATCCCCCACCCCCCGGCCTGGTGCACTTACCAAGAACGGGATGGAGGCTGGTGAGCAAGAACGGTGTGGTGCGGGTGAGGGCTTCAGCAGCAGCCAGCCTGGACTCTGTGGGAAGGTGTTCTCCACAGGAGAAGGCGACCAACTGAACCCACGACTTCAGTGTGGGGGCCACCGAGTCCCTGGTCTGAAAGCACAAAGCGTATGGCAGGTCCGCAGGGGCAGTTAGGGGCTGACATGGAATTAGGTCTGAGCCGCATACACCACACTGGATGTGCAAATTAGCTCTTACCGCAGGGGAAGAAAAGTTTTCTAGTTGTTTTTCCAACCCAACTAGGGAGAAATAAACAAGCCCAGGGAAGAAAATGTGATTTGTCTTTCAGTAATACTGAGTCACTAGAACTAGCAAGAAAGTTCCTGGAGTCTTTCTGATGCAAATCAAGGTATCAGAACATTGGCATATTTGACAGCTTCGGTAAAGACAAGCCTTCTGGGGAAACACTGTGGTAGCAAATAATACTGTTGTCTCCCATAGCAAGATGCTCCTTCTATCTTTAGTAACAGAACCTCAAATTTTGGGCTGGGCATAAAGACTACATTTCCCAGACCCCCCTTCACTTGGGAGTAATATATGATTAAGTTCTGACTAATGGTGTATTATTTTTAGGTCATGCCTTAGGAAACAGATGTGACCTTTACTTCCCAGGTTTCCCTTTCCTGCTAGCTGAACAAGGACAAGATGGTGGAAGCTGGAGCAACCATTTGGGACCATAAGATGGAAGCCATGTTGAAAACAGCAGAATAAGCTACAAGGGTCTGGGGACCCAATACTGTCATGCCACCATATCTGCTTTGACTGCTGTGATCTGGTTTAAGCCACTGTATTTATGAGTTTCTGCTATAACATTTAAAGCAGCATCCTAACTAACATTATTGTTTAAACAAAGCTCTATTCTTCTATAGTAACAGCTTTTTTTTTATTGAGATACAATTCACATGCCATACAATTCACCCATTTAAAGTATATAGTTGAGTTCTTAGTATATTCACAGGTTTGTACAACCATTACCACAGTCAATTTTAGAACATTTTCATCACCAAAAAGAGAAATCCCTAGTTAACCTCCCCCATCCTGTCATCCTGTCAGCTCCCAGCCCTAAACCACTAATCTACTTTCTGTCCCTATGGATTTGTCTATTCTGGACATTCCATATAAACTGAACCATAGAATACGTGGTTTTTTGTGACAGGCTTCTTTCATTTAGCATATTTTTAAGGTTCATCCACGTTATAGATGTATCAGCACTTCATTATTTTTTGTGACTGAATAATATTGTTTTGAGTGGACATACCACATTTTGTTTACCCATTCATCAGTTGATGGACATCTGGATTGTTTCCGTCTTTTAAACCCTGGTTTTCTACGTATTCTAGAAAGGGGATTATTGTTCCAAATGTACTTTACTTCCCATATCAAAGAAGCCTCTTTAATTGTTCAAAATTACCATCGGTGGGCCTCTGTGGAACTAAACTGATGAGCATCTTAGACCTTGAGGAAGAGGCCGACTCCCAATGTACAAAGAAACCCAGGTCTTCCTGGGAACTTCTTTTATGCATTTCTCTACGGTTTTGTTAATTTTTCTCTCCCTGGAAAACTCCCAATTTTTACCAAATACTGCTTCATTCAAGTACCAAGCAGTGCCTCTAAGATGCACATGAATACTCATTAAAAATGTCTGTGGATGAGAACGAGGTCTTTTGGCAGATGGGACAGGCTGCCCTGTGACTGCTTTCTTAGAACTTGTTTTTTTCCCTCTGGGCTATAGTTTTTTTTCAGCAAATCCTCTCCCTTCCTACAAACCTCTCCCCTTCAAACCCCCAACACACACTACTGACTTTTTTTTGGCTCTTTGTCCTTCCTGGTGACCAGCCAGCTTTGGCCCCCTGGCCTGCCTCTGAATGCCCCACATTAACAGTGGATCTGCTTAGCTCTCACCCTCTGTCCCCTCTGCCCAGCCACCGCTCTCTGAACACAACCACTTTCTCTGTGAAGTCTTCTCCTTAGCAGCCCTGCACTCCCTTCCTCCTCTGGATTCCTCCGGCCTCCTCCCTAGCAGGGCATTTAATGTCACGATCTAATGCTCCTCCTTGCTTATGACACTGTCCCTCCATCCTTGTTCATCTCCCGATCTCCCGCACCTCTGGCTGTGCTGCTTTACCGTAAGGAACTGGAACCCGTGATGTTAGCTGCCACCATCACAGTGTGGTCACGTGTAACCAGGAGCTTCAGGTAATATTACTGTAGTATCAACTGCCTTCTACTTATAATAATACTCTGATAGGGACACCTTTCTTATGCCCCTAAGTATACATGTATTTGTCTTAAGGCATCTTCCCAGGAAGCTGTTTTGGTTACTTTGGTTCCATCTTTCCCCCAAAGGACATGTGAGACAGAGGGGGCACATCCAGGCCTCCATACAAAGCCAGCTGGGGCCATATTCTGGGGGAATAGTTAAGCCTTAGGGATGTATTTTCATACTTAGTTGGCCAGGGTGCAATCCCAGTGACTTGCTCACTCGCTCTTTGAAAAAAGAGTCTAGCTAGAAAACTAGGACAAAAAAAACAAAGGGTTTGGGGTGTGTGTGTGTGTGTGTGTGTGTGTGTGTGTGTGTGTGTGTGTGTGTGTGTTGTATGAGAGGAGGTTGTGTTACCCTTATGGACTCAAATCAAGCATGCCCAGGACAAGAGAAAAGAAATGCTGATGGTGGTGCTCAGAAAATTCTACAGAAGTTACACCCAAAGTGAAACACCCACATGAATAACATTTTTGTAGCGGCGACACATACATGCCCCAGTGATTCTGCTTTGCTGAGACAGTTCACTTTCACCGACGCCTTCCTGGTAAATAAGAGCACGAAGACCCAGACCCTAGGCCACAGGCCCAGTCAGCCTTACCTCCTCACACGTCTGCAGGTGGTGGGCGATCACTCTGGAGGCAAGTCTCAGAGCTACACTTTGAATTTCAGACCTAGAAAAAGTCAGCCAAAAACACAGAAATAAAACCAAATGTACTTTGTATACAGATGGGTTTTTGTCGATAGTCTGTAATCCACGCCATTGTGAATGGTGGGCATGCTCACCTCAGGGCCATACAAATGCCATCAGAAGTGATTACCCTTTGGTTATTAATGTGAAAACTCTGACATCATTCTATGGCTTGAGCTTAGAACATGCTCCTAGGCTGAGATTTAGAAGGAAACACAGGACCTAAGCCCTTCGGCAAGGACCGTGCCCGGATTCACTACGTGACTGACTGCTGGGACAGACCCTACATCATGCTGGGGTTGCACGGGGAGCACTGGGGGCAAACCTTTCACTGGAAGCAATATCCATTGTCCAGATCAGGAACTCCTTTGGGGTGAGGTGAATACAGTCCTCCGTCTGGGGAAGCCACTCGCTGGGGTCCATGCAATGGAGAATCTTCAGTATCTGTGTGTATCAGATCCATGGGAAAAAAAATACTCAGGAAAAAGTCTCCAGGAGCCAAATAATCATCACCTGTACCAATAAAGGGGTCTAGCTTTCAAAAAGCATCACTGACTTCTTATTTCCGCCTTAATATTTTTGGGAGACCAAGACAGGGTGGAGCAGTGACACACCCAGGGGACCTTAGTGACCTGGGATCAGAGTCTAGATGCCCCGATTCCTAGGCTAGTGCTCTTTCCTTTTGATGATGCTTTCTAGGTGGCCATCTGTCCCCAAACAGCCATGTTGACAAAGACGACCCTCTACCACATTCTACAGCCAATTTTCAGGGCTGCATTTCTTAGAGCGCTGATGGCTTACTCCCAACCTCTATCTTGGCTTATTGCCATCATCATTACCATTGTCATCACTTTTTTTAGTGCCCTTCCATGCACGAAGCCATGACAAGCACTATACAAAGAGAGTCCTTGCCCACTGGATGTGGCATCTCCTTCCTATTGCTCCTGGGGAAGCCCAACCCAGTCCTGCCTACATGATCTTGTTACAGCGAGCTTGCCAAAAAGCAAGGGGCGCAGAAGGGAAAATGGTCAGTACACCAGAGACTTTACCTTGCAGAAGCACTCTGGGTGATTTTCCTTCATAGCCAACATCAAGAATGTCCCTCCCATATTCCACAGCAAGGGTGGCAGTCCCTTCTCTCCTAATCCAGAGGCTGCTGTCGAGAACCTTTCCAGCAGGGCATCTAACGTCAGCAGGCGCACTTCAGGGAAAGAAGACTCCAATAGCTGAGAGAAGAAGATGGGAATGGTCCCTGCCTGCTCTCCAGCTTGGGCCGCCACAGCCCATGCTGTGGCGATGGCTAGTTTGGTGAGGCTCTGGAGGTACTGGGGCAGGCCTGGCACTGTGAAGGTATAGGGGAATCCCGTTATCAGCTCTGATCCTGAGATGATCCTTCTGACGTCCTCCCAGAAGCTAAGATGCTCCGCAGCTAAAAAAGCAAAAAAGTGAAGGGAAAGAGGTAATCACTTTATTCAAAGTTCCACAAAAGTTCAGTGGAGAATGCAAGGTGCTGGGTACATGGGGTGGGACTACCATATGCCTTTCTTGAATAGATTTCACACGAATGATGTGATAAGTGACTAGCCCACTTAGGTTCAGAAGTCTGAAGGCATGAACCAGAAGTCTGAACCTAAGTGGTTAGTCACTTATTACATTTGCCCAGAGGCAATTTCTGTTTAGGTAATTCATAATGTTTCCCCTAGAGGGACAAAAGGCATTGCTATCAGAAAATGTGCTCCTGGCACCTCTCCCCAACACTTAATAGGTATGAACTCAGGGACCTCCCGACTCACTAAGCCTTAGAGTTGAGCAGGACATCTAGTCCAAACTTCCTTTAGGGGCTCAGATCCCCCTATAGCACCTTTCTTCGGAGGCTCCTGATCCACCCCTACAGTGACTCGGAGCTCACAAGACAGACCTCCTATTCCATTGTTAGGAGAGCTAAGTATCACCAAGTTCTTTTGAGGCTTTCTACTCACTGGCCTAATTCTGCATTCTTCGGGCATGATAGCCCCCATCTTCTCCAGATGAAACACCCCTACTTCCTTCAACTACTCCCCATGTGGTGGGGTTCGTCTTCTCTTAATAGTCTAGCTGCCCTCCTCTGGACATGCTTCACCCTTCTTAAGGTCTGGTGCCGTAGAATGGAACATGACTCTCCCATGTGGTATGACCACAGGACGATGACTTTCCCTGTTCTGACACCAGGTTACTGGAGTTGCATCACACTGTTGACTCATGGAGCTTAAAGTCAACTGAAACCACAGCCTTTCTTTTTTTACATGGTCTACTGAACGTGGTGAATCATCTTTCTCCCACCTTGTACTCAGTCCTTAATCGGGACTTGTTTTCTTTGTTTGTTTGTTTTAAACCCAAGTAGAACCACTGTTAAATTTTATCTCCCTGTTAAGTTTTATGGTCTCCCTTTTAGATTGCCAAGATCTTTTTGTATTCTCACTTCTGATCAAAAAAACACTCACTGCCTGCTTACTATGTCCTGGGTGCTAAATAAAATAAGAACACCTTAAGGAGTTTCTAGTCTAGTTTGAGAGCGAGAAATCCAGGTAATTCCAATACAGTGGTGTAAATGATAATCTGAGTCTTCAAGGGGAAGGGAGGGGAGAATGTATTGGAGCATTGAAGGCAGAGCAAAGGTCCAAAGGCATGAACCAGAATGGACCATGTAGGGAACAACAGGCAGTCTGACATCACTACAGCATGGAGTTCAAGGTGGGGAACAGCAAGAGATAAGGCTAGAGTAGTATCGTGGCCAAGACATTCAGGACCTCCTAGGCCATGCGAAGGAGCCTGGACATTCTTCTGGAGGCAAGGGAATGCCACTGGGGGGTTACTTCAAGCAACAAGGTCAGGCAGTAGTCTAGGAGAGAAATGATGAAGGAAGGAAGGGATAGGGAGGAGAAGATGTATTTGAGAAGCCAGTGAGGGAGTAAAATGGCAGCACTGGGTGACTAACTGTGGGAGGAGTCTTCGGTACCTCCCAGAACCCCGATGCTCCATACAACACATTCATCATCCAATAGTTGTATAAACCTCAATGTGACAAGCATGCCATAAAAGCCTGCAATCAAATACTTACTGAAACTGTGGACTGGGCCAGTGTGGAAGGCAGAGGGCATCGGTGAGTGTTAGAAGCAGCTCCCCGCCCCGTCCCCCGCCTACTCCAAACTCTCATCAATTCATTACCAGTTATCAATCCTCCTAACTTGGCCATCCTGTGTACGGAATTCCATCTACAAGAACATCGGGATAGACTTCATCAGGGGCCTGGCTGAAATTTAGGTATCTCTTAACTTGGTGAACACTACTGACTTCTAGAAAACTATCACAAACAATAATAGAAACATAAAAGATTACGGTAATAAAAAAAACACTTGAAATTGCAAAATCTCATAGGCTTGCAATAATTCAGGAATTAAAAACATAGAGTGTTCATGTTACACATCAAATTGTTACAAAAAGAAGTTTGCCCCAAGAGGCAAGGTGGGGGCTCAAGCTCCAGTATGACTGGGCCCCCTGGGGGACACCATCCACCATCTGCCAACTGTGGTTGCAGACACACTTCTGCTCTTAACTCAGAGTCTGCGGAAGTCCTAGTTCAAGTAGGAGGGCAGCCATCTTTATAAAGCGGCAAGAAAGCCCCAGGTAGTTGGGATCTTCAACCTCTGTGTCACCATCTCTATTTTCAATGCCTAAAAACCTATCCCAGTACAATTTAGTAATGACACCACCACACCATGTGGTCTCCAGGTACCACGTCCCTACCCTTCCCACCTACTGCTGCCTCAGGACAACACTGTCTTAAAAATTTCATTTGTTTGGCAAGGAGTCAGAAACATGGCTCAGATTCTGCTCTTTAAAATGTAATTAAAAACAGGAAGAACTGTCTAGGCCATTCTGGATAATTTTCAGAGGAACCTGTTATCTGAACGAGAGATATTTCAGGCAGAGTGCATTGTTCACTGGACTCAAGAGCCAGGCACGCAGACCCATTTTCTTCCTCTAGGGCCTTGAGGAAGGATGACACCATCAAGAACCCAGGGACTGAAGGCACTGGCCCAAACACAGGAAAGATGGGGGACAGGCTTAGGAAGGGCTCCTTTGGGACTTCTTAGCCTACACTGCCTGTGGAGTTCAGTGCAATGTCATAAGCATTCACTGAGCATATATTAGGTACTTTGGGAGAGGGAGATTCAGAGTTGAGAAAGAAAAATTACTTGCTATCAAAAAGCTTTACAACTAAGCTTTTTGGGAGGATAAAGACAGCTACAAAAAGTACAAAATGCTTAGTGCCCTAAAATTGTTAGTGAGAAAAGCTAGATTTATGTGCCATGCACTACCGAATGTTATATACCCATTATTCAATGCTAGGAATAATTACTTTTAGAATTGACACTTGAGTACTATTCTAAGCACCTCAACAAGTATTAACTCATTTGAAGAAGTAGGTGCTAGTATTTTTTTATAAAGATTTTATTTATTTATTTGAGAGAGAGAGCACAAGAGACAGCATGAGAGGGAAGAGGGTCAGAGGGAGAAGCAGACTCCCAGCCGAGCAGGGAGCCTGATGTGGGACTCGATCCAGGGACTCCAGGATCATGACCTGAGCCGAAGGCAGTTGCTTAACCAACTGAGCCACCCAGGCACCCAGTAGGTGCTAGTATTATTTCCATTTTACAGATGAGGAAACAAGAGAGGTTAAGTTACTTGCCCAAGGTTGCCCGGGACGGGAGGTAAAGAGAATATATGAGCCATAAGAAAGACCAAAATAAATGTGACAGGCACTTATTTTCTATGGGAAAAGACAAAATAAAAGATTTCAGGAGGGAATACAATTTAAGATGAGCCCTGCAGGCTGCCCAGTGGCGCCTGACTGGGGGAGGAAAGGGCAAATGCTCTAGGGGAAGTTAAGAGACAAAGACTGGGGTGCCTGGGTGGCTCAGGTGGTTAAGCATCTACCTTCAGCTCAGGTCATGATCTCAGGGTCCTGGGATCGAGCCCCGCTTCTGCCTCTCTTCCCTGCTCGAGGTCTCTCTCGTGCTCTCTCTCTTAAATAAATAAAATCTTAAAAAAAAAGAGAGAGCGAGAGAGAGAGAGCAAGACAAAGAGTGACCTGTGAATAGGTTTGCTGAATTGATGTGTCAGCAGAGGAACTGTCAGGTCAGGGCTATAAGCTAGGAAATAACCGAATGACATTCATTTAGACACTTTCTCCTAGCTGCTTAGGAAACAAACAAACAAGCAAACAAAAAACAAAAACAAAAACTTTGTTGTGCACTCAGACCCAAAGAGATGATCTAAAGCAGAGTTTCTTCAACTGGAGAACTGGAGTAAGCCTCAGAATCACCTGGAGGGCTTGCTAACCCATAGACCGCTGCCAAGGCCTCACCCTCCAAGTGTCAGATTCGGGAGGTCTGTAAAGGAGGCTGAGTTTGCATTTCTAATAGGCTCCCAGGTGATGCTGCTGCTGCTGCTGGGCCAGGTGCTTGAAAACCACTGCCCTCAAGTGATGTTTCGTAACCAAAGCTTATTAAAACCACACGTACCTGAATCCCACGCTTGCATACTCGGAGTCAGCTGGCTTGAGGTGGGCACAGACACCTGGAGTCTTAAGAAGCCAACGGCTAATTCTGCTCTGTACCCCAGCTGAGAACCATGCTCCTAAGACTCGACCTTCATAGGGGCCTGTTGGATTTCTGGGTAGGGAGGTAGGGGTTTGCAGTCCCAAGCAGAGCACAGCTGACTCCAGCCCAGTGGTTTGCTAGAGTGAAGGACTAGAAAATTCCCCCACACCCCCTTTCTCTTACAAATAAAAACATCAAAGGAGGGAAAACCACCAAGAATTCAGAAGAATGACTAAGCACTAGAATAAAGGCCCCTGGCAGGCAGGCAGTCCTCAATGCCCGCTCACTAGGTGCAGGCTCTGTTCTCAGTCTAGGATTTCGCAGTGAAACAGACCAGGCTCTGTTCTCATGGCGTTGCCATGTAGGTGAGGCCCCCAGACCACCCCCTGTGCCTACACCGAGGGGCTCTTGAGCTGGAACCGGAGGCTGGAGTTAGAGCTAACAATACTGTCACATAAGCAGCTGCAGTGACTAGAGTTCTAGAAGAATCACCGTGGCAGGGGACACTTGACAGCTTGTGTGGGGCAAGTGGTTATAAAGGACCGGGTGAATCTGGGGTGATTCTCCCAGGCTTGGCTGCCCCTGCTTTACCAGCTCTGCACCCCACAGCTGGTAGACAGAGTTCACCAAGTTGTTTCACAACCAGGACTTCTTCCTGGCCAAACACCGTTTTGTGTCCTATCCTACCAAATGCAATTTCCAAAGTCTAGATCAACATGGGGTGTTTCCTTCCATTTCCCTCAGTAACTGTTGTCCACAGCCCGCAAAAAACTGAGATCAGTTCTTC